TTTTGAGACAGAGTCTCACTCTGTTACCCAGGCTGGAGTGCAGTGATCTCGGCTCACTGCAACCTTCACCTCCCAGGTTCATGCGATTCTCCTGCCTCAGCCTCCTCAGCAGCTGGGATAACAGGCACTGGCCCCCATGCCTGGCTAATTTTTCTACTTTTAGTAGAGACGGGGTTTCACCATGTTGGCCAGACTGGTTTCAAACTCCTGGCCTCAGGTGATCCCCCTGCCTTGGCCTCCCAAAGTGCTGGAATTATAGGTGTGAGCTGCCGAGCCTGCCCAAACTACTGTTTCATTTACAGCAAGTTTACCAATTTCTTACATTATTTTCTTACTGTTGATCTTGGCAGTTAGAATGGTAGCTCCAGACGCTGAAGCAGTATCTGTCAGAAGGCTGGCTTGCTAGTTCAATGTGCTGGGGGCCACTCAGTGCTCTGTTGAGGTGTTTTCCAACGGCAGAAATCTCGTTTCTGACTTAGGCCATAGAGAGTTGTCTCCAACCCCCATTTGGGGGTTGTGAGAACTTTGGCTTCAGAGGCAAATGTGTTCCCATCAGGAAATGATGAAAGTTATGACCTCATATCCCAACCCCCACTCGCCCCATTTAGGAAGAAACTTCAGGGATGAGATAAGTGAACGTGGATTCCTTGTCTTCACTCCAATTACACCTCAGCTCCGTGGCTCCTCCCGTTTCTCTCTCTGGCCTTGATTCTCAGCACACCTGTCCCGTGAACCACCTACACTTTCCCTCAATTCATGCTCTACTTTGTCCCCTGAAGATGGGGCCCAACTTGAGGTTTTATTTCAGCCTGTGGTAGCAGTGAAAAGCAGACACAGCCAATGTGGTCAACCGTGTGTTTTTTTTTTTTTTTTTTTTTTTTTTTGAGACAGGGTCTCACTCTGTTGCCAAGACTGGAGTGCAGTGGTGTGATCATGGTTCACTGCAGCCTCAACTTTGCAGGCTCAAGTGATCCTCCCACCTGAGCCTCCTGAGTAGCTGGGACTACAGGTGTGCACCATTATGCCTGGTTAATTTTTTAATATTTTGTAGAGACGGGGTCTCCCCATGTTGTCAGGCAGATCTCAAACTCTGCGGCTCAAGCAGTCCTCCTGCCTCAGCCTCCCAAAATGTTGGGATTACAGGTGTGAAGTACCGCACCCAGCCTTTCCTTTGCATTTCTAAACTCTGGGAGCCAGATAGGCAGGGAGTGCATAAAGGAAGGACGAGTCTGGAAAAAAGACAGCCCCTGCCTGTTTCTTCCACCATCACAGTCACTGTTGTGATGAGTATCATCTTCAAACAACTCAGGCTTACCTGTCTTTTCTGTCCAAATCTGGTTTTGTTGTTCATTTGACTGGGACCTTCAACATCACTCTGACAGTAAAATAGCCCTGGATCCTGTTAGAGTGAATGGGGCTTGTGGCCGCCCATGGCTTTGAGCTTTTTTTCTAGGTGTCATGATTGTAACCAAAGTCATTCACAATCTCTACTTGATACCCCCAGGCCTGAGACCCTCCTTTCCCCAACACACTGACCTGCCATTCACACAGATAAATCTGCCCCTTCCTCTCCAAGCTCTCAACTGAAAATGCCTTCTTTCATCAGATTGTTGTTCAAATCCCATTTTTAGGCCAGGCACAGTGGCTCATGCCTTTAATCCCAGCACTTTGGGAGGCCGTGGTGGACAGATCACCTGAGGTCAGGAGTCCAAGACCAGCCTGGCCAACATGGTGAAACCTTGTCTCTACTAAAAATATAAAAAATTAGCCGGGTGTGGTGGGCGCCTGTAATCCCAGCTACTCAGGAGGCTGAGGCGGGAGAATTGCTTGAACTCAGGAGGTGGAGGTTGCAGTGAACCGAGGTCATGCCACTGCACTGCAGCCTGGGCAACAAGAGCAAAACTTAATCTCAAAAACAAAAACAAAAGCCATTTTTAATCTAATGACAGCACACAAATGTTAAAACAATTGAAACAGGTTGGGTGCAGTGGCTCATGCCTGTAATCCCAGGACTTTGGGAGGCCGAGGTGGGTGATCAGTTGAGGTCAAGAGTTCAAGACCAGCCTGGCCAACATGGCGAAACCATCTCTACTAAAAAACACAAAAATTAGCCAGGCGTGGTAGTGCACGATTGTAGTCCCAGCTACTTGGGAGGCTACGGCACAAGCATCACTTGAGCCAGGAGGCAGAGGTTCCCACGTTGACCAGGCTGGTCTCTAACTCCTGGCCTCAAGTGATCTGCCCCCTTCGGCCTCCCAAACTGCTGGGATTACAGGTGTGAACCACAGTGCCCAGCTAACAACCCTTTCATTAGTTTGTTTTGTCTAATATAGCCTTACAGGAAGAGGTTTTAAAAATAATTTTTATAATTTTAATATGTGAATATTGAAAAATGACAACAAAATAATTCATTCCAATGGTGAAACTGAATTTCCCAGGGATCCCTGACTTGATTTCCGGACTCTCCTGTGATTTCATTCCATCATGTTTCTTTGGAAGCAGAGTGGTAGGATGAAGGGGCAGGGCTCTGTTGAGGGAAGGTGGAAGTGAATGGGAAAGGCATTTATCACAACACTCTGGTGAAAAAAGAACACGGAAATAAACCCAATGCCTGTCACAAATAGGGTTTCAGAGCTGGGTGCAGTGGTTCATGCCTGTAAATCCCAGCTACTCAGGAGGCTGAGGTGGGAGGATGCCTCAAGGCCATGAGTTCGAGACCAGCCTGGGCAACATATCAAGACCCCCCTACCCCCCCACCAATCGCTCTCTTTTTTTTAAACAGGGTCTCACTCTTAACATCCAAGCCAGAGTACAGTGGCATGGCTCACTGCAGCCTCAACCTCCCAGGCTCAAGTGATCCTCCCAGCTTAGCCTCCCGAGCAGCTGGCACTATGAGCACACGCCACCACACACAGCTAATTAATTTTTGTAGAGATGTAGTCTCACTGTGTCGCCCAGGCTGGTCTCAAACTCCTAGATTCAAGTGATATTCTTGCCTTGGCCTCCCAAAGTGTTGGGATTACAGGTGTGAGCCACCATGCCCAGCTCACCCCATGTCTCTCTCTTTTTTAATTATATATATATATA